CAACCTCATGTGAACAACTTGAAATTTCTCCTTCTAAGCCGGATTTGAGATTCTCGTGACCCTATACAAGAATATAACCAAAATTTGATTTAAATATTATTTTTTCAAGAAATCTTATTTTTTTTAAAATAACAATACATTCATGTCTTCTTACTTTCTTAGATAAAATTATGAAAAAATCTACTTAAGATTTTTACCTTTTATCATGTAATTTCATAATAATGATAAAATTTACTTAAGATTTTTACCTTTTTATCATATAATTTCATAATTATGTAAAAATCTACTTAAGATTTTTACCTTTTTATCATATATATTCATAATTATGAAAAAATATACTTAAGATTTTTACCTTTTTATCATATAATTTCATAATTATTAAAAAATATACTTAAGATTTTTACCTTTTTATCATATAATTTTATAATTATGAAAATCTACTTAAATTTTTTACTTTTTATCATATAATTTCATAAAATACTACATCTCACAAAAAAAAAGAAAAATGATTTGTTATCTCACTAAATCTTCATTTTTTCTCATCAAATAAACATATTTTTAATAAATTAACATATATAATTAAAAAAAAAAGGGGTCTCATTCAAATGTTCACAAAAAATGGTTCCTCATCCGGCTCTATATAATATCAAAACCTTGAGAGAACAAAAACATAAACTTCAATCTTAATTCTTGAAAACAAAACAACAATGACGATAAGTTCAAAAACCCGATTTCCCCTTTCTCTCCCGGTCATCGACTTTTCGAGTCGAGATCTCAAACCAAAAACTCCCGAGTGGGACTCGGTTAGAACCCGAGTCCGAAAAGCCCTAGAAGAGTACGGATGTTTCGAGGCCTTGTTTGATGGAGCTTCCACGGAGCTAAGGAAGGCTATTTTCAAGGCCGCAGAGGAACTTTATGATTTACCGTTGGAGACCAAACTGAGCACCAAAGTGAGCACTAAGTCAGGACAAATTTACAAAGGTTACGGGACAATTCCGACTATGCCTTTATACGAAGTCATGGGGTTTTACGGTGTAGACAATCCTGAGGTTGTCGATGACTTGACTTACAAGCTTTGGCCTCAAGGCAATATCACCTTCAGGTTCCTTTCTTTTACATTCTGTTCATGTCACTTTAAAAGAACGTTTGGCCAAGAAT